TATTAGAATGATTCTGTTCCTCTTGTCATGTGGCCAATTTATTTCAATTTCAGCACATTGTCAAGAGATTTTTGTTTTCTAGTTGGATTTGGACAGAAATAGCAGGGCCGGTCATTCAGAAGGGGTTTCATTTTGCCTGTCGTGAGATGTGAAATTACTGTCATTTTAAAGGAACTGTTTGTACATTTCTGATTTTAAATTTCATAACTTTGATCTAACTGTGTCCCCAGATATGAGCTGGACATGTTGAAATACAATGCTGGTTTATTCTCAGTCACAAAAACATTGGACATGATGGACAAGTTGTTTATGTTATATATTATCCAAGCAGAAAGCAGAATGAGCTTCACATCAGTCTCTCATTTGTGTTGCCAGTTTCAGTGCTGAAATCCAGTTGGTTTAAACCTAAAATGCCTCTCTCTGAGCTGAATGCTCACTCCCTAAACCCCAGCATCTGCAGACAGTCATGAATTCTGAAGGTTCTGAGCTTCCACATGAGGCATGACCTGACCATATATACTGAAAATGAGAAAAAACTATGTCCTCTATTGGCAACCCAGCTGACTGTAATACCTAGTCAAATGAGATTCATCTGGTCTTCTGATAATTTATTTAAATAGATTTTCTCTCTCTCTCTCTCTCTCTCTCTCTCTCTCTCTCTCTCTCTCTCTCTTTTACTCTCCCACTCTCACACATTGATGTCAAACTTATAATGAGATATTACATCACATATATATATATTTTTTTTTTCCTAAATGACAATAAGGTTGCTTATTTTTTCCATTACTCTTTTCTTCAGCATAATATGAGGAGTTTGTCAGACAGGGGCACACAGTGCCTGTCACTGACAACAGAAGCAGCAGTCCCATATTTTAGCTAAAGGGGTGACTCAGTCCACTGTCGATGTATTTTTTTAAATGACTATGACATAACGGTGTTCCCTCATCATTAGCAGTAGTTCAGTTCATTCATGTATGTTTGAGTACTCCTGTATTGTCCTGGATTGTCCTGCATTTGAGGTTTGAGTGCTCAATTTCAGCTAGAACCGCCCACATCAGCGGAATGTAGACACTGGGTCATACATGAGCCCATTTTTTGACAAAATAAATCCTCTACTCTCTTTGGTGAAATATTACTATGAAGAGGAAAGGCCAATCGGTTCATTTTAAACAGGAAGTCAGTGGAGCTGAGCTGCTTCTGTTGTTCTAAGCTGCTCAATTTTAAATTTTACAATCAGCCAAAGTAATGATATAATTAAATAGCAATTTAAAGAAGACCTATCATGCTTGTATTTGCTATAGTTATAATCTATGATACCCATGGATCATTATGGTGAAATTTGCACATTTTAAAGCATTTAAAATTTTATTTAAAGGCACACTGTGTAACTTTTCTGATGGATGGTCTGTCAAATGTTTTTCGCCATGGAGATGTTATTGCTGTGTCTGGAATGTTTCACAGTATAAGATTAAATCTTTCTATCTCCTTTCTATGTCTTAAACTGTATTCTTTAGCAAATGTGTTTTGAAGAATGTTTAATTGAATCTTCAATAAAAGGTTCAACTTCTGTAAGGAATTATCATCATGTTTCATGTTTCTTTTTTTTATCATTCAAATAAAAAGATAACGCATTTTGATGTGAGCCACTTAAGAAGGATCAAGTCTTTAGAAATGGAAATGTGGTTATTGAAGCCAAGATACTGCATAATGATGACAGTTGAATTCTATTACAATCCTCCCCACATGAAAAACATGAATGTGAAAACCAAATGCTAATTAAACCAGCTAATTAACCTGCTCTTCGGGTGTAAAGTAATTTTTTTTTCCCCTCATATTGATCAATCACATTTTTCTTTTCTATTTTACTTTGTTCTGTAAAAAACAAAGGAAAAAAATAGCTATCAGTATTAAAGCAACACTGTAACTTTTCTATTGAAGCAGACAGTTAAAAGCACAGCCAGCTCAGTCCTTGTTATCCTGGCCTACGTCATCAGAGGTATAATACTCCCTACGACAAAAGCCAGACTGGACTGCACTAGACTGGACAAACTACCACAAAATCTTGAAGGTGTTTTGAGTCCTGGTGTTTTTTCAAAGTTTTTTCAGTGCAATAAGAATATGATCTACTTTTTGATTAAAAAGTTACACAGTGGGGCTTTAACAACAACGTCTTTAAATCATTAAAAAAAGTCTTCCATCTGCTCCAAACTACCTGCTTTTACTGACAGAGAACTGGCTGTAGACATGGCCAATAGGGTTGTCAAAAGTATCAAAAAAATCAGATACTAATAGATACTAAAACTAGAATTACAACTAGAGACTCATTTGAACAGGTATGAAAATTGCATTCTCTTGTCTAAATAAAGTGTTTTTTTGCTTTTGTTTTGTTTTGTTTTATTTAGTTTTTTTAATCATCATCATGTGTACAGTCCTAGTTTACTTTTTTTGTGTATGTTTGGCCTATGTTTGACAAAGTGGTCCTCCAAAAAGCACAGCTAGGCCAACTTCCAATAACCACTTTTTCAACCAGTGGTGGAAGAATTTTGTTACTTGAGTAAAAGTACAAATATCGGGGCAAAAAATATTCAAATAAAAGTAAAAGTATCACATAAAAAATCTACTTAAATAAATGTATTAAAGGACTTGTTTAAAAATGTACTTGAGTAAAAAGTAAGTATTTCATGCAAATTTTGAGGTTTTCAAAATCTTGAAATGTAGTGGTTTTGATATTGATTTGTTTTGATCAACAGAAACAATTGAATCAGTTGTTGTAGTTGTTGTTTTCCTAGTTGTTACAAATGTGTTAAAAATAAACTCTCAGCCTTCTGCAGATCACACTTAAACTTTTCCGTCCTGTTCAAAAACTAGTAGAGTAGAAAGTACTGATACTTGCTATCAAAAGTAAAAAGTGTCCATTTAAAACATACTCAAGTACACTGTTGGCCAAGCTACTTTAAAACTGTAATGTGTTATTTATGACTTGTTACTGCAATTTCAAATTAATTTGTTACATTACAATATTACTGCATTTAAAGATAAACCAGGACTAAACCAGAACTGAACCAGGACTACACCAGAACTGAATCAGGACTAAACCAGGTCTAAACCAGAACTGAACTGAGGACTAAACCGAGGACTAAACCAGGACTAAACCAGAACTGACCCAGGTCTAAACCAGGTCTAAACAAGGACTAAACCAGGACTAATCTTGGACTAGAACTTGGAATCTAGGACCGCCCATGAGAGAACCCTGAGCCCATGGAACAGGGTGTCTGCATGGCGCGATCGGCCGTCAGCTGCAGTTAGCCCCATGGAGTGCGGAGTTCTGCGCCGGTTGTTTCGCTCGTGGTCACCTGACAGTCTAGGCGGGCGCATCTCCGGTGTTTCACCGCTGCTGATATTGCGGTGATTTTAGCAAATTTGTATGAAGAAAAACCAACCACTTCAATCCAGGTTAGAAAAACATTGTAATGCGCGTTACTGACATTTGCAATGCATTACAGTAATTTATTACTTTTATAACGCGCTACTCCCAACACTGCTCAAGTAAAGTACAAATACATAAAATGTATAATTAAATACAGAACTTTACTGCTTTTATTTCGTTACCTTCCACCACTGCTATCAATATATATATATATATATATATATATATATATATATATATATATATATATATATATATATATATATATATATATATATATATATATATATATATATATATATATATATATATATACACGGTATGTATATACAGTATTTACAAGTGAGCGAAACAATGTCAAAGGGTTAAAGATGACAAAAGACATAAAACACGAGAAAAGACGAGATAATTCAACATTATTGATTCTGCGCCTTATAGTCCGAAAAATATGGTACATCCCACATCAAATGACAAGAAAAAGAATAAGTTCAGCTCTAGCCTAATGAAGCTCGTCGTGGCTAGCAGTCATATGGGCAAATCTGGAGCGAGTATCATAGTAACCAAAGATCCAATCAGGAGTGACGCTGTTGAAGGTAACACCTCTTCTTAGCAAGCCTGTCAATCAAACCCATTCATAAGGTTGGCAGGTGCAACCTCGGGTGCTTGATTTGTCGAGTCGATGGAGCTGGAAGCGCGCCCATGCTCACTTCCTATTTGAAACGCGGCAGGTAGCAGTTTAATTTGTGATTTTTGAATGCGAACAGTTATAGGAAAAAAATACCGGGGACTGGCTATGAAGTTCTGAAATTTTCCTGGACTAACTGAGTTGTTAAGTAGTTGAGCATCAAAACACTGCATCAACTAATTTCATGAGTATCAGTTGATGCCTGCTTGTCTCCATGATTACTGCCTGGAATGTTTCACAGTATGGAATTAAACTTAAGATACATTTATCCATGGTGACACCAACAGGACAAGTTATTCATGGGTTTCAACTTCTGTTATATGATTTTTTTTTTTTTTTTTTCTATTCGAAAGATAGAATATTTTTTGTTTTAAATTGTTAATGACTATGGCAACGTTACTAATTTTTCATCAAAAAACGTACGGATAGGTCAGATCAGTGGAGAGATTTGAAAATTGGATAAATAAAACTATTTTTTTTAAAAAAGACATTCCAGGCATCATCTCTATAGAGACAAGCGTTGGAGCAAGCGGCAAACCAACACCAGAAAAGTTACAAAGTTTGTTTTTGTGTATTTTTACTTTTTTGTTTTTGTACTTTTCTTTGATTAACTTTTCTTATTGTACACCAAGAACAACCCAGTGATTACAAAACTCCAAAAATTATCAACATGCAAACTTAAAATGTTGCTGATTCCTGAAAGCGCCCCCAGAGAAAAGATTGATTTTGAAGAACTGAAGTTTGATAAAAAAAAAAGAAGAAGATAAAAAAAGAAGAAAACAGATTGCCATCGTAGAAACCTTTTGGGGGTTGCCGGTAATGGGTGTAATAATGGATGGTAGTTGTGGTATATGAAGGGAGGCTTGCCTGGGTGAGGTCCAGTTCTACCTATCCGGATGCTCATCTCCAGCTGATGTTCACTTTCTTTCTGGAGCTTGAAGTCGGGAGGGAGGGCCAAGGCGGTGTGGGGGTCCGATCCAACTCCCTGAAATGCACATAAGAAAGAAAGACCAATTAAAGTGTTATTCGCAATCTCAACTTTTGTGTGTGATTAGTTTTGTATGACTATTACCAACAAGTTTGAACAAAAGTATTGATAAGAAATAAAACTAAGAAGGAAAAAAAAAGACATGAGGAGAGAGCAAGCCATAAAATGTCAAACAAAAATGTCAAGTTCAAATTCTAGGTTATGTGTGTGTACCAGCTACTTCAAGTGGAACAGAACATTTTCAGTTGTGGAGATGTAGACAGGCTAATAATAAAGGATTACTCAAACATGTCTGAATGACTTTTCTGGCAGATGGTCTGTCAAATGCTTTTCTGCATCGAGATGTTATTGCTTTGTCTGGAATGTTTCACAGAACGGCATTAAACCTTTCTATCTTCATGGAGACCAAATCGGACTAAGTTACAGACCAGATCTGTGGAGAGGCGACCCCATTCACAATCAGAATGTCTATTTTTTTTTTGGGTATTTTTGAGCTATAAAACTACTTGTAACTGAGTAAATGTAAGGCAAAGATACAGTGGAACATTCCAGGCAGAGCAATGACATATTCATAGAAACAAGCAGGTGATAGACCCCCAAATGAAAAGTTACACAGTGCACCTTTAACCTAGGGTTGTCAAAATTATTGCAAATCAGAATCTGATCAGTACTAAAACTAGTATCGAAACGAGTTCTCAGTTAAGTGGGTATTGATCCTGAAGAAAAAAGTAGACCACATGATGTAATAAACAAATATTATTTTGGGTTGAAAATTGCCTAAAAATTGTCTAAAAGACAGCTTTTAAAATGATAATTTTCTGTATCAAATCTATTCTTTATTGAGTCATAAAATTTGAGTAACGAGAGTTTGAGTAACATGACAACACTACTTTGTTATAATGACACAATGCAATAAAGTGAACTCGTATTGTATCATGGTCACGAAACCATGATGTTAGCACAGACAGCCACAGCTTCTCAGCACTAAAAGAAAGAGACACCAACTCAACCAAGGGTGCACTGCAAGGACAAATATTGACCATGTATTGACACAATGTGCAGGCGGAAACAATGCCAGGTTTACACAAGGATAACATCTTTTCATGAAGTATGTCCATGGTGACAGAAAAATAATATCTATATATGTGGCTAATAGCACCAAGGTTGACCAATCAATGTTAGTTTTTAAAGAAGTTCTTTTGTCTGCTATACATTTACATCTAAACAATCTATGGCACTTGTGGATCATTATGTCAGAACTTGGATATGTTAAATCATAATATTCATTTAAAACGACTCAAAGAAGTCAGCTGATTTATGGGTTGGAAAAGTGCACAGTCCAATTGAGATATTTAGAGCCAAATGGATAGCTGCAGATCACGCTAACCAACAAAAGATTTTTATGTTTTTTATTTATTTATTTTGTTATTATTATAATTATTATTATTTTTTTTTATATATACTAAAATGACTACGCAACACTGCCAAATACTACATGTTTCACCAATAAGAAAATGAAACTGAAGTAAGTACAGAGCCAAAAGGTGTATCCTATGCATGAATGAGTCTAAAGGCAACTCTGAGGGGGTCTCTTTAAAGGCATTTCTCCACCATTCAAATATTGATTTACACATATTATACATGCTTTTGGGCACCTTGAGAAAAGTAGTTCAGTAGGTTGAGTCTTGTGATGGTTTTGGATTGTTTACAGCAGGGGTCACCGAACTATTTTCTATGGCGGCCACATTATTGCTCTTGACTGTGAAGGGGGCCGGAGTCGTGTCGGCCATATAACACAATTGTTTGACCCTGATGAAGCAGATTATATTCTTTGAAAACCGCCAGACTTTCTTCACATATCAGGCAAACTGCATGGTCCTTACACTGAACAAAAAAAATAATCGGTCATCCACTGTTCGTTCTGTCAAGTTTTCGTACTTTAACAAGAGCTATTTTGCTGTCCTTAACTGCACTACAGAACCCTGCACGTGAGTTGACTGTCACTTTTTCATCTCGAGATTGTCAGGTGATTAAAATTTGGTGGCAAATGTAAATAAATCATATAATTGTTTAAATATAAATATAAATACTTCATATAAATATCATATAAATATAAATAAATAAATAAATAAATAAATAAATATAATATATATATATATATATATATAATATATATATATATATATATGTGTGTGTGTGTGTGTGTGTGTATATTATATATATATATATTATATATATATATATATCTTTTTTTTTTTTTTTTTTTTTTTTATTGGAAAAAAATAAAAAAATTAAAAAAAAGATGCAGACAATGCAGAAAGACATTTGGATTAATATATTCAAGAAACACGTGTGACTGAAACAAAATACAAGTCCAGGGATGTTTTGATGAGGGGACAACAGTATAATTCCTCTATTACCACATGACATCACAAGGTGGAACAGAGTGTTTTCTGTTGGAGAGAAGAACTGAGCCTAAATATGCAGGGTTTGTGAGTTAAACGTGTATGAATGAAACAAAACACGACTCCAGGTCTGTTTGTGACGAGGAAACATTATAACAGAAGAGAAAATAGTGTAACATTCCTTGAAAAAACTAGTATTGAAATGTAGTCCTAGTTCAGACCTGGTTTAGTCACAGTTTAGCCCTGGTTTAGTTTTGGTGGTACTCGGAAGGCCAAATATTGCCTCAGGTGGAACGTAGTGTGAAAACTTTGAGAACCACGGGGAATTACCGACTTACCAAACTGTTATTTTTGAAATGTTTACTGCCAGATGTACGAGTGAAGGTCCAAAAGGGGACAGACAGACACTGCACATCCACCAGTGTGTTTCCTGTTTTTCTTAATATAAAAGGCAGAGTGCAGCCTGCTCCAAAACCCTCTAAAATCATCTGAGAACCAAGTGAAATACAAAATACAAAGCAAAAAGAAATGGCGTGACGCAGTAGGAGCCAATGTAATAAACAAGTTGAAACAAATAGCTGTTATGATGGTGCTGGCATACATCTGTGCCTGTTAGACTGTCCCACTATTTTATTCCAACTCTATGCTCGCTTGGGGGAATTGCAAACAAAAAAAATATCAACAAATGAATTGAAATGGCTGTACCTGTTTTTTTTTTTGTGTTTTTTTTGGAGCGAAATGTGTTTTACCTCAGTACCTATGGTGGGATAACAAAGTAAAAGTAAAGTACTCAAGTCTGTATTTTACTTCGGTACAGTTTAAAGAGGACACTTCACTACTACTATTTTCTGTTTCACTACATTTTTTAACTGGACTGAAAAGTAAAAGTATATTTTTTTATTGTTTTCAGAGCTGCTAGAAAGGCTGAGGTTGTTTATTTTGAAGACATTTTTAGTTTGAGTAAACAGTTATATGCAAATAAAAACAGCGAGGGAAAGAATTATCAACTCAATTGTTTCTGTTGATCAAAATTCAGCGTAAATATGTATCAAAATCAGTACATTTGAGGCCTTTCAAGACCTCAAAATATGAAAAATCCTTTGACTTTTTACTCTTTAAGTACATTTTTAAATGGGTACTTAAACAGAATTTTGATGTGGTACTTTTTACTTTTATTGTAATATATTTTGTTACGGTATCTGCCCTTTTACTTTCAGAACTTGAATAATTCATCCACCACTGTCCAGTACATATATTGTTTAAGCAGCTCTTGAGATAAAAATGAGGCTACTGTTTCAAGAATCAGGAAGTTTGCTATTAGCATGCTAGTTGTCGTTAACATTGCTGTATTTGCAAAACTGCGCTCCGGCCTTTTAGGGTTGCGAAATGTGCTTATGAACTCATCTTGGCGAATAATGATGCATCTAATTATAAACTGTTTCATGTTCGGAGAATCAGAAAGTGCGCTGTTAGCATGCTAGCTGTTATGAGCAATTTACCGAGAGGGCAAAACACCTATGGCCTTTGACAATTTTTGTAATGAGATCATAAATTCTTCGCCGTGATGAGTAGTTAGGCTGCATCTAATTATGAAGCCTTTGATGTTCAGAGAATCAGGAAGTGTGCTGTTACCATGCTAGTTGTTATTGACATTTACTGTGAGGTCAAAACTGCACTCTGGTCTCTGAAAGTTGTGAAATGCGCTCATATACTCATCGTCATAAATAATTAGGATCCATCTAATTATGAAGCTTTTCATTTGTGCAGAGAATCAGGAAGTGTGCTGTTAGTATGCTAGTTGTTATTAGCAATTTACCATGAGGGCAAAACTGCTCTGGTCTCTGAAAATAGTATAATGCACTCATATACTCATCGCTGTGAATAATTAGGACGCATCTAATTATGAAGCGTTTCATGTTCTGAGAATCAGGAAGTGCACGGTTAGCATGCTAGTTGTTATTAACAATTTACTGTGAGGGCAAAACTGTACTATGGCCTCTCAAAGTTGTGAAATGTCCTCATATAATCACTGTGGTGAAAAATTAGGATGCATCTAATTATGAAGCTTTTCATGTGCAGAGAATCAGGAAGTGCACGGTTAGCATGTGAGCTGTTATTCAAATTTACTATGAGGGCAAAACCGCTGTCTAATGTGCTTCTAAACTCATCATGGTGAATAATAACTAGCTCTGTGTTTCATGCTTTGAAGGTACAGCAAACTTAACATTGGGAGGTAAAAGAAATCGGGCACCATGGCGACAGTACGCAGGGGATTTTTTGTAGAACAGAGTAACTCACACTCACTCTACAAAAGAAATAAATCTGGAGTCTTCTACTTGTGAAGTTTCAATCTGAAACTTGCCAAGAAATGCCAGCTCACCCGGGCAGAGAGAACACAGGCACGGGTCAGCAACCTCCAGCTTGTAATAAAATGCAGAGCACCATGAAAAACTGTATTGAAAAAAAGTATTCAAAGCACACACAGAATCAATGGACGCATTCATATACATCACATCGTCAAAATCAATAACAAGCATCAAAGTGGAAGTGAAATGTTTCTTACAGGCTTTAAGCGATAAACATGACTTAATT